TGTCTAGACTGGCCAGTTTTTCCGCAAAAGCAGCTGCTTTTGTGGAAAAACTTGCCAGCTGTCTACACTGGCCGCTTGAATATCTGCAAGAACACTGACGATCTCATGTAAGATTGTCAGTGTTCTTGCGGAAATACTGTGCTGCTCCCGTTCAGGCAAAAGCCCTCTTGCGCAAATGATTTGCGCAAGAGGGCCAGTGTAGACAGCACAGTACTGTTTTGCGCAAAAAAACCCCGATGGCTAAAATGGCGATCAGGGCTTTTTTGCACAAAAGCGCGTCTAGATTGGCACGGATGCTTTTCCACAAAAAGTGCTTTTACAGAAAAGCGTCCATGCCAATCTAGATGCTCTTTTCCAAAAATGCTTTTAACAGAAAACTTTCCCGTTAAAAGCATTTCCGGAAAATCGTGCCAGTCTAGTCGTAACCTATGTTTAACTAGTTAGCCAATTAGACAGAATTTTACATCCTTATTTTTGAGTTTGAGTGGGGGGTTTTTTTTGTTTGTTTTTTATAGGCCATAAGTAGGTGAAAGGAGTCCATGAATGATTTATTTCAGGATGGAGACTTTAGGAAAGCCCATCAAGTATGTAGTTGCCTGATGATGCCCCATATGGGTTCCAGTGTGGAGTGGCAGGTGACAAGTAGATGTATGTGGTCAAAGATTTTATTTCTGTATTGACACAATAGTGCCTAAAGGGTTGGGCTGAGATATGGATTAGGGATGCAATAGTGTAGTCGATCAATCAATAAGCAGCGTATAGGTTAATGTACACCCACACACTGTAGCTCTGCATTTAAAGTGTCTTAGGAAGCAGGAAAGCAGGGATCACCGGGCTCAATTCTGGCTCATGCTAGAACCATATCAGAGGCAACAGGCAGCCGATCTGTGAAGGGAGCTGTTTTTTAAACCGGCTCTCCTCAAGGATTAGCTTCTACCTGGCACCCCACGCTGCTGCCTCAGATACAGAGGCAACAGCACAGAGTGGCAGGGGACTCCTTGGCTGTGGGGCTGGAATACATTGGCTGCTGGCCCCGCCTGGAGGGACTCTAGAATAGTCAAGTAACCAATAAGAATTCATAAGGTTACTCAACTATTCAATTAACTGATATTTAACATCCCTAATCTGGATCTCATTATTTTTAGCATTGCACAAACAGATAAGAGATAGTTCCTGTCCTAAATAACTTAGAATCTATGCAGACAAGACAGACAAAAGATGGGAGAAAGGAATTCATCTGTCTTCCTCTCCATAGCACCTTGAGCTGATGCAAGAACTGCAAGAATGTGACAGAGGATGTTTTAGCTGGTTGAGCCTAGTGGGGGAGCACGACGGTTGCTCAGTCAACATCTCTACACGGAGGCAATGTCACTGTACTCACAAGCGGCACTGCCATCGCTCTGTCCCATAACCTTTTTGTAATGACTGATCTTGAGCCTGCACTGCTCCACCCCAGCCCAGCTGGGTAACCTCTGGCACCTCAACCCACCCTGCCCCCTCCAACCTAGCCTCCGCCCTTCCCTAAGATCCGCCCCTTTCAGGCTGTAGCTGGATGTGCACTGTGATAGGCCCACGTCTTGCCACGCCCACCGTGA